TTTAAATGTTTTCAAAAGAGATATAACACTATCATTTTACTGTAGAACTCAATTCTCATTCTAGATTGCAGTCTCTTTCTTTATGTTTTTTTTCTAGAAAGACATAGAGAATAGAACTCTAATGGAATATTACCAGCAAAATTCTATTCTGTTTTATACCAACGGCTCTCATCTTTTACTTAGTCCTTAACATCCTCCTGGTATTTGTTCAAATTTGGACAAAGTCTGGAAGCACCTAGAAACAAGCTTTCATCTGCATTCTCTTGGAGCTAGGTCTCTCCTCCATCTCATGTTGCCTGCTTAGCATTGGTACTCGGTAGGATGCAGTCCATCATCTTTCCATAGCAGCTTTGACCAGAATCTTACTCTGAAATCTCCTGATGGAGCCAACAGGAAACAGAATTGGAATTCAAGTGATTTAAATCAAACCTACTTTTGTGGGTGTCATTGTGACTGGAAATATGATCATACTGTCTGAGAAAATGAAATGTGAAATATTTAGAGCTGAAAGACATTTTAGACATAATCTAGCTCAACTGCTTTCCATTACTGATGAAGTCACCGAGACTCAGGAAACTGAGGACACAAGTATGAACTCACCCAACATGTTGGCGGTAGAGCAGTGTGAACCAGATGCCTGCTTTTGTGTTTTCAAGTTCAGATGTCTTCAAACTTGCAACTCACTGCAAAAGAGCCAGATTGAAAACTTCACTTACGATCTTTAAGTTTAGTATCAAATTAAATTGCAGATTAAATGTGAAATGTTTATTAGCATAAATATGAGATCAAATTAAGGTAGTGGTAACAAAGCAAACTCTTCACTAGATTATTACATGCACTTGGTAATTTTTTTTTTTTTTGCCTTTCATTTGCAATAAAAAATTTGCAGCAAGAAAGATTTATTTTGGTTTCGTGATGCTGGAAATGGAATGTAGGGTCTTTGCTCTGAACTACAGTCCCAGCTCTTTTAAATCTATTTATTTTTTCTATTTTGAGACCAGGTCACATTATGTTGCCCATGCTGGACTCAAACTTTTGACCCTCCTGCCTCATCGCCCTGAGTGCTGGATTACAGGTATGTACCACCACACCCAGCTAAGAAACTCTGAAACCGTTGAACTTCAGAAAATTTTTAAAAAGAAATTAGTTTTTAATTTATGAACTATGTATGAAATGTAAGGCAACAAGGTGAAAGATTATACTTGTATATAAATATGTCTTAGATAGAGTATATATACATATGTATATGTATATATACATCAATAAAAATTGTCAAGGATTTAACATGAAATACTGTGCCTACTGGAGATTTTAGAAGTTATTGAAAGTCCTGATTACTGAGCAATTAGGCTGTCTTTGAGTGCCAAATTCAGATTAACAACTGAATGAATAAGAGGATACAAATGAGCATTTTGTGGCAAATCTGTCGATATTGTAAGATAATTATTTTAAAACGTGTGAGTTTAAATGACAATAAATTTCAAAACAAGAATATATTTCTACTGAAAAAAACGATGTCTGTATTTCAACAGTAGCATCTTTAAACCATGGGAAACTCTGGATCAGTTTGAACAATAAACTTTGACTAAGTCTGAATCAATGACAGTGTCATTCAGTTGCAACATTCTGTCTTAGATTCAAGTACCTAATCCCACTGCTAAAAATGAAATCAGCAATACAAGCTAACTCTTGGGTTGCAGTTACTAAAATTAAAGTAAAATATTCTAAGTTCTTTCATAAAGAATCCCCCAAGCTGCTTCACTCATTTGTTAACAGAAAATAAATCCTTCAGCAAGTCAGCCAGTGCAAATGATAAACTACCTCTCTGTCTAGTTTGCTCTGGAAATGATTATGCAGTCAGTTTGGCATGAATTCATTTTAATCAATTCTTAAACCTGGAAATTGAAACATCTCCCTAAAAGGATTTCTGCAGTAGTTGTTACCCTACATCTCTTCCAAATAATTTGCAAAATATACAAGTGAATGTACCAAATGTGTTAGAGGAATGATGTACACACCAGTGAAATTGAAGATGACACTGAGGTGAAAAATGCCTTAGGCATCTATTTCAGTAGGTCTCTTTGTGGTTGTAACACAAGTTTCTAGTGGCCAAATGTCTACTTACTTCACAAACCTGAACCTGTTTCAGCACAGAGCTAGATTTCATATGGTCCAATGTAACCACACTGAAAGCCATTGCTTCTTGAGGGAGAGAAATATTTTCTAACAAAAGAATGCAGCTTCCCAGCGCTGAACATTGTAAGTTATTTTACCAACACACTTCTGACTTCCAATGAGGATTCCACCAAACCTTTCCATGCATTTCATTTTTTTATTAGGACTTAATGAGTAGTAGGAACATATGATTGTGAGCTTAGGGGATGGGACAAATTAACATTTTATACCTAACAAGTACTTTCAAGAGTTTAGTCTCATCCATGTGATGCTTTAATTCCAAAGGCAATGCATTAGATTTTGATGACTTGAATTTCATAGTGACGGCAAAAAATAACAACAACATACTAAATGTAGGCTTTCAATGTTTTGATTTTAGCAAATTGAAACTTTGCTGATTTTGCGGCTGCTAAATAACCATTTTCTTGACACATCACTTCTTAGTATTCCATCATGATAAGTACCCATTAAAAGCATTGTATTAATCAGACAGTTCATATTAATAATAAAAATTATTCCAACATCATAGTGGATATTTAATAGTGATTTATAGGATGAATGATACTGTAATATCTCCTGGTAAGACCTCACACATTTGAGAAAGGGCAGAAATGAATTAAAATTGGGTCTTTTTTTATTAAACACATACCTTAACTCTGATTGCTTTTCAAAAACAGTAAAATAAATGTGATTAATAAACTAGTGGTGGTTAGTAATTATTATTAAATGTCATAAATTAATAAATATAAATTATTTGTAACTAAAATATTAACTCATGTACAGATACATATTTTTTAAGGTTCCATGTCCATTTTGGCTTAGGTCTAGCATACTGTGTATGTAATTCATCTGTATATGTGCTATTAATTTTTCTTTCATTATCATTGTTGATATGTCTATATATGGATGATATATAATATGGCTATAAATATTAATATATTTATGTCTGTCCATGTATCTATGTATCTATCAAACCACTTGACAAAAGTTCATTATCCAGTGGCCCGAATAAATTTGATAAGTAAATTCTCTTATGGATGAATGTTTTCATCCACAAGAGACCACCTAAAATTACCATAATCCACCATTTTGAAATGATAGTTTCTAAAGTAAAATAAAACTATATATAGCATATCAGACTGGGGCATGTGAGTTAACTGGAGGAAAAGACATAAAATACAATCAGTAATTCAGACCCAGCGCTGTTGTATCATTTTAAAATAATAACCAGAAGCTGCTCCTTTGACTTAATTTTCACTTCATTGCTGACCTTTTCCTCTCATTTGCTGTGAAATTCTATGCAGTGAATGTGTTACCAGTGTAACATGGCTGACATAGATCAACCAATTGAAGGTGACCGATGATGGTAAGAAGCAGAGCCAATTCTTGGTTTAGCAGAGAAGACAAAAGTCTTATTCATAAGCTTCTTTTCCGCCATGTTCTGTTTCTTAGTATATTCATGACTTATTTTTCTAATGCTAATACACCATTAGTAATCAATTCAGAGAATTGAGCATTTTATTTTCACTGAAAACTTTAAGCATTTTATTAGTAACAGGCAACAAAACAGTCTTCTCTATTCATGCCTCAGATCTTAGGACACACTAAATTTTGAGGTCATCTCCGAGGTCTTCTTAGAAGATATAATCTTACTGGAAAGGAATAAATGACTAAATCGTCCTAAGCTTTTTGTTATTTTTAATATTCCATGTTGCAGTTAAACAAGTAGAACAGATGTAGGTAATAACAAATTTTGGTATATTCAACCAAAATTATGATATAATGTAGTTTAACATCTTAGCTAAGATGAATATTAATCAGTACTAGACTATTATTTTTTTTCTTTGATGATACAACATTGGCATTATTTTGAAGTCTAGAGATGTTTATATATATGTATACACACTCTTTTCTACATCTCAGAAGGAGAAACAATATTAGCCTCCTTGTTTAAATGTCATATGTAATATGCATGTTATTTTTAAGCTTATAATTACAAAAAGAACAACCTGCAGTAATAGTGTGCTAAGAAGTCCTCAGTGCTCAGCATCTAAAAGAAAAAAACCCAGAAAACTTTACCTGTACATAACCCACATTCTGATTTTCTCCAGGTAGAGGAACTGAATCAATCACTTGATTGAATTAACCCAACAGTCATTTAATTCTAAAATCTAGTTCAAGACTATGATTATTTTGCTTAATATAGCAATGTTGAAAACACTGAAAAAATAGCTTTGGAGAGGGAGATCATTTTTTTTGTTTTAGTCTTTCATTTGGGGCCATAAATAAATATTCAAAGTTCCCCAATATAACATACTGATTTCTTCATTCTTCCTCAAACTTAGCTGTACATTGAAATCGCCTGGAAAAGTTTACTGCTGATTCTGAGTTCTGTCCCCAGAAATGCTGATGTAACTTGGATGAAAGCCTGACCAGTGGGCCTTAGAACCCTCCCCCGGGTGGTCACCTTGTGCAACAGCCTTGACATCTACCCTTGCAGAAAATCTGGAATTCTCATTAGGAGAGCTGGACTGCCACCCAACTTTTCAACCATCCCATTTTTCAGAGACTTGATCTGCCTTCTTTCTCTTTTCCTCCTCTCTTATACAGACATTTCTGTCAAACTTTAATGTCACTTAGCAAAGCAGCCAATTACTAAGGCTGTGATGTGGCTGAGTGGTAAAATGTATTCTTAGCATGCACAAAGCCTAGTTCAATCACACACACACACACACACGCACACACACATGCGCACACACAAAAGCAATTCCTCTTATACTTTATTCTACAGTTTTTGCAAATATGTATCCTTTTGTACACGGATAGCCAAGGACGATAACTTTAATAGTGTTTATTTTTGTTAAAAGAAACCAATAGAAGTGAAGGTAAAGTCACCTTCTGATTGCACAAACTAAACAAGAAAGTATTACATATTTCGGCTTTACAAAGCATCTTTTTGGTTTTAAAAGATCAATACTATTGATAAAGTTAATGTTGAAACACATATGTAAAAAGGAACCTAAAATATTTAATTTACATATCTACAAAATGTATTTTCATATTTCTAGATCAACCACAAATCATATAGGAAAATATATAGGCACATGAAAAAGCTTCAAAACATAAAAAATTAACAAATTAACAAAAATTTTTGAAAAAAAAAATCACATGTGAAAGCTCATTAAATAATAACATTGACAAATAAATAGTTAATCAGCTTTACTTATTAGCTGCTGCCATGCATTTCTGGCATTCCATTCCAAGCAAGGGTCAGCATGCAGGGTATAATTGCAAACTATGAGACTGTAAAAAGCTACAGGGCTTATTTTTGAAGTGAAATGTCACATGGTCTTTCTCCCTCTTTCAAAGAAGATCACTGGTGGCTGCTAAACTATTCCCATGAAAGTGACTGGAAAAGCACCTTTCTGAAATGTTACTGTGAAGATTCAGAGCAACCACATTTTCAGCTTTTCTGTTTTGAAGGCATGTTGTGTGGAAAGGACAGGAATAGGCTAAAGAACAAAGAGGCCCTTTTCTGTTTTAAAATGTCAAGACTGAGCAATGCTTATAGTATCAATAGTCTCTTGAATGATGGGGATTAAAACTACAGGATGTATGGAATTTAAATGCAAATTGCATGCATGAACATACACACATCTTGAAAAACTTGAGGAGGAAAAGCTATTCCCAGAGAAGGTCCTGAATCTTAGGACAGCTTGCTGGGTTTGATCAAAGCAGAAAGCATTATACTTTCAAGTGAGAAAATAGCAATGGCAGGCTTGAGTCTTCCAAGCAATCAATCTGTAAAGCAGATGGTTAGAGTCAGTCCAGCCGGAGCGTCTGAGTTCTAACTCATGCTGTGCTTGCTGGATTTGCTGGCTCTCTTCCTCTCTCTGTGATGCTGGGCTGGCTTGGCAGGCGACACACTCTCAAAGTTGTGGCTGGACTCGTTGTGCTGCCGGGTGTACCGCTTGCATTTGCAGGCGGTGACCACTGTGATTTTGTAGGTGCGTGTGCTGCCATCCTGGCACTGCAGCTGGATTCTCTGGGTGCGCGTTTTGTCGTTGACACACCTCCACTCCTGGGAGCTCCTCCTGCTCCAGTACTTGGTTCCATAGCCTCCTCCAATCCAGTTAGGGAGCACCGGCAGGGGCAAGCACTCCCCCGCACACACCAGCTCCTTCAGAGGGCTGATGCTGGTGCACTGGCCATCGGAGATGTATTTGGTGGATCGCAGTTCCCGGCAACCCACTTGAACCCGACCTGCAGGAAACGGAAAAGAATATGCATCACAGACAAAAAACAAATGAAGCCTTTAAAATTTTTTTTTAAAAATACATTGCAATGATATCCAAAAGGTAGCACATTGCCAAAAAGAAAGTAAAATACTACTTTCAAGAAGAACATCAGTTACATCATTTTAAATAAATGCTATAACTTTTTTGGAAAAAAAAACCTCTAGGCCTGACTTTTTTTCTATGTATAACATTAGCTAATTGTTTATTGCTATATTAGAAAAACCTCATTTTCTTATTCTAACCCCCCAATAAAAGCTTAGCAACTCTTCCACTTTTGTGTAAATATTCATTTTGCAATAAGTTAAAAAGAATCCACTTTAATCTTCTGTTTCTCATGGGTCCTGTTGGTTAATGTCTGCAAGTGCTTTTAATTAGGTTTTTTTAGAAAAAAAAAATCTGTTGAGAAAATGTGGAAAGTACTTAAATAGTGTGTACAATACATATGCACTCAGCAATATTTGATTTCAATTATATAATTCATCTGCACAGAATCATACATGGACACGAGTACCACCTTTGACATTTTGCATATTAAATTTAATAAGTGCATTTTAAATGTAATTCTCAAGCTATGTCTTAAAAACACAAATAGTAAAGTGTTTGAAATGCAAAGTACCACCACAACTCAAAATTTAAAGAATATAAATGCTCCTAAATCAGAAACGTATGGTTGCCATGACAACTTGGCTACATTTCCATGAATTTTATGGCAGAAAAATACCTAACATGTCTGATTTACAACTGCAAAAAGAACCATGGTATTCATTTCCTGAATATTGGTCATGGCAAACTTTTTTTGAAACTTATTTGGATTTGATAAGTCTATTCTCTAATTGACAGATTCTTGTTACATGCCTTATACAATTACAATAAAAATTAATCTTGAAATACTTGAACTTTTTTTTTAACGTAACTTTGCTATCAAAACTTTAGAATAACAAACTTTCCTGTAACATGCTTGAGAAGAAATTGAAGCTTGTTATCCAGGAAAAGCAAAACCATATTTTAGAGCACAGGACTGATGGACTTTTAAAAGTAAAAATTATAAAAGACACTGAAGTTGTTCTAATAGAATACCAAAAGCTGACTCAAAGTAAGAAGTAAATCAGTTTTACTTCATCCTTGTACCCTGGTACTTTTGAGATGAGACACAGCTGAAGGGGAAGGTGAGACTGTGGAAAAATATATGGATGCACATATATGTATACATATAGGTCTAGAGCTGTAGGGACTTGAAGTGAAAGGGGAAATCATTGGGTTGGTTCCACAGTGCGCTGGGCTTGCCTGCTCCTGATTCCACTTCACCTTCCCACAGCTGCCTTAAGAATGCACCTGGAAACAGCCAGAGGTGACTTTGGCTTGTCTAGCTTTTTGTTCCTGTACATACAGACATTCAGCATTTTTGCAGTGACAGTTCATTGACATTGAATACCCACCACATTGCTCAGTAATCTAATAATAATCACATATTTCTTACATACTTAAAAGCAGCAGTAACCTTCAGGAAAATTGAAGCACCTTAGTTTTCTCCAGAAGACATTAACTGCCATGTTTCTTTGACTTTTTAAAGGTCAAAACTACTTTCGTAGTTGAATGGAGTTTAAGGAAGGAGGTACAAAGATTTGTGTAAGATTTCTTGTGCACTGCTGTGCTCTCTCTCTCTCTCTCTCTCTCTCTCTCTCTCTCTCTCTCTCTCTCTTTCTCTCCCTGATTATCGGAAAAGGAAAGAATGTACTTCTAAAAGAAAAGAATGAAACAAAAATTAGGGGAAGAAATTGAATCCTCCTAGCTAGTGATCAATTAGTATGTCGATTAAGCAAACAGAAAAGGATAAAAGAATGCTCCCTGTGTGAAATGGTAGTGTACTGTTAATTTTAAATACCCCATCTTTTGCAGCTACTTAAAATTTGATGTGATATATGAGGGCTAAGTTTGGAAAAAAATATGACTATCCAGCAGTTTGAGCTTTATCTGTCTTGCATTGAGCATCAGTAAACTTTATTTCACTAGACTTAGATATCCACAGGAATTTTTTTCTTCTTATTTCCTATAGGTACTCTTGGTTAGTTCATTGCATTTATATGCTTTACCAAAATTGCACATGTCCTGGGATACATTGACAAAAGAGCCTGAACTTACAAGTATGTACAGCACCACTTTAAAATTCTTTTCTGGCATAGAGTTAAAAAGGCAACAGTTTAATTCCTGGATTGTGGATGTCTGGTAAAACTTAAGTCTGTACTTGTCATGAGCAAGCCACTATTTTAATTATGCTCACTCTACCTAGAGAAGAATGCCAACCTCCACATGCCACAATTGCTCCCAGATTGTCCTGCAAAGATATATGTGATTCGGCTTAGTTCACAGAGAAGCAATTTGACAGGAATGAGAGTTAATGCTACCAAACAAGAAGAAAGAAAAGCTGCACAAGTAAAACACACTTACTGTTCCGATCCAGTCCAGTGTTACTGAAATGCCTGCCTCCATTTCTGGCTTGATTCAGCGTGCTGTTGCTGCTGGGCTGTGCTGGAACAGGTTTAACCACATGTGAATAAAGAATTTCTGTGGCATCATTTTTAAAAGCCAAACAGCTTTTCATCAGGATGCATGCAAGGGGAATGAGATAGAAATGAATGGCAGGAGGAAGCATGGTGAGAGGAGGATTCGCTTGGCTGCAGAGCTGGTTAATTCCTTTCCCTCTGCTTCTGCACTGTAACTGTGAGATTCCTCCTCAAGGTCCCCTTTATATATCCACAGAGGTTTGGCGTTCATTCAGGTGTAAAGTTGTGTAGAGCTGCAGAGTAAAAACACAGAGAAGGGGTGGGATCCCTACATGACCCTGCAAAAGAATTTTACCAATGGAAAAGAAGGCTGCACAAAAGGAGGAGCTTGCTATACAAATTGCCTGAAATTTCAGAGTTGGACTTCACTTGTCTGTGAGCAGAAGCAAGCAAGCTCTTTCTATAGCAACGACAGACTCTACTGTGCCGTTTCCTTTCCTGAATTTAGCTTACATTCAAGTTTAGACTAAAGGAAAATATGTTGCTGTTTATCTGAAAAGACTGACTTTCTCACATTTGTTCTGTACTCCCCTCAGATTTTAGAGTATTTGGGAAGGGAGAGGCGGGAATACATGTGAGTTTCTGTAGTGCAGGACGTGAGTGAAGCCCGCAGTTAGTTCACTATGTTTTGTCTCTCAAGAAGCAAGTCAGATTATTTCTTTAAGGTGGCACACAGAGCTAACAGCTGCCCTCTGGACACTTAAATAATGCTGCTTTGATGTGTTTGAAATGCTGTGCTGCTAGGTGAAATATTGCCAGGAGTTCTGTGTAGAAAATAATGGACAGAGTTCTATCTATGTTAGAGTAAACTAATTCCAATTCTTCTCTTTAAAATGTGCCTTAAGAATTGACATTCACAGAGTCAGTTTACACACAAAAAAAGCTCTCTTGGACAGACTATTGTTTACCAAGTTAAAAATAATTTTTCCCAGAGTATTTTTTGTTGCAGAACATAACCTCTATTTATTAAACATTTTGTTCATTATTTAATTTGACTCCACTGCCCAAGTAAGAAATGCTATCTTCTCCACACTTGAAATAGGTGTTCTATTAATTAATATTAGGTCACTGATTTTCTTCCCTTACATAAAAAAATTATGAAGGTTTATTTGATTCATGGAACATTTTGATTAAAATAACTACATATTGTGAATCAGCTTTCCGAATATAAATCCATTTTTGTCATTAGGGTGACAACTGAAATGGCTGGAGCCTGAATGTTTTGTATGGCTGTTCTTGATAAGCTATGACCCACGCTAACTGCTATTCACCTTCCCTTCCTTCTTTCCTTCGTTTCTTCCATCCTCCTTTCCCTCCTTCCTTTCCCCTCCCTCCACCTTTCTTTCCCACTCCTCTCTACCTCTGCGGGAACGTCACAGTCACCCCAGTGATTTTTTGGAAGAAGCATTTATTCATCACGAAGGACCTTCCTCTGGGTTTCCAGCATCCCTAACTTCCACCCACTAGATGCCAGCAGCACACCTCCCCCCAGCTAGTGGTAACAAAAAGAATTCCAAACATTGCCAAATGCCCCCTAGTGGGTAAAAGCACCTCCGATTAAGAACCAATTGTCTATCCATCTATTGCACCATAAAAAGAAATTTTAAAATAAGAATGCAAAACTAATATTTAGCAATCATAAGGAAATGTTATACTTTTTTTCAGAAGAAAAATGATACTGTTTTGCTTCATAACAACGACTACTCCTTTGGAGGCATATAATACTATATAATATCTATAGATGAAATTATATGGTGTCTATAATGAGCTTCAAAGGTAATATAGAAAAAAGTAATGTGGAAGGGGTGTCATCAGGGTTGTGTGTGTTGAAAAATTTGTCATGGGTTGTGTATTGTAGTCTGCTTATTCTTGTGTATATTCTAAATGCTATGTACACATCCTCCTAATAACAATCAGAGCTCTGTCCTAAAGTTATATGTTGTTATTTATTCTAACATCCCTCCTGAAAAATAATGTATCACTTTATTTTGCATCAATGGAAGTTATATATCAAACATCCTTCTGAAATACTATGCAGAATTTCTTGTCCTGATTGGCCAGGCGCTTGACACTCGTTATACAATGTTAATATTAACCATTGTTAATATGGTAATATTAACCATTGACTTGTAATCCCAAACCCTACAGGAAGAGAGTTGAAATCATCTGAATTCTCTTCGACTGCCTTTTCTGTTTTGTGTCCAGAGCACGAGACTTTAATTTTAATTTAATTATTGAATTGACCATATTAACGAGCACTGGCTAAATCTTCTCTGCGCCTAGTACTCTGTAAGCTCAACCACTGGAGAGCCCCTCTAGCAGGAGCAAAATTAGTTGATAGATGTGCACAAGAAAATTTCAGAACTACTAGGTCCAGTGTGTCCTGTGGGACTCCACTTAGCAAACTACTGAAATAAAAGAGAAATACCTATTATTTAATCTTGAGCAGTTATTCAGATCTGTTTACTTCATTATGAATAATCACAAACAAAAACACTCTGGTAAGATTATGAGTATGGATATTTAATATTATAATTGATTCTTTTTCATCTTCAAGTCTTGATATATATATATCTTTCCCTCCACTTAGAGTATCCTCACCTCATAGACTGTAATCTCAGCACTTGGGAGGCTGAGGCAGGAAGTTTGCTGTGCGTTCGAGGCCAGTCTGGGCTACAAAGTGAGCTCAAGGCCAGTCTAAACCACATAACAAAACCCTGTGTCCAAAAGAACAACAACAAAAAAGAATATCCTCCCCTTATTTTTCTTTCTTGGCTAACATCCATTTCTTTTTCATGTCCAATTTACATGGCACGAGCGCTAAATAAAAGTCTTGTGAACTGTTTTTGTTTTATAAGTGCCACTGAATAAGTGAGTAAATTAAATATTTAAGATACATAAGGAAACCTTTTTAACATATAAAAAGATGAACCGGTATTTTTGGTAGGCACTATGGTTCCCAGGATCCTCTCCCTCATAGTATTACGACCTTGCAGTAATCTCTTTTCTGAGTGCATGATGAACATAATGATTCCCAATGAGTACAGTATACCAACATGATGAGACAAAACTTCTAAGATCAAGTTCCTGAGAGACTGTGACTTCTTTGATTCCTTTGCTTGCTTTGATGGAAGCCAGCTACCGTGCTGGGAGCGGCCTGTGGAGAAGCCTGTGTAGGGAGGAACCATGTCTGCAGCCAGTAAGGAACCAAGGCCCTCAGCCCAATAGCCTGGAATTCCATCAACAAATACACGATAAGCTTGGAAGCAAACCTCTCAGTTACAGCTTCAGATGAGGCAGCGGTCCTGACCTGTACCCAAAAGTTTCCCTATGAAATATGTTGAACCAGAGACAGCCCAAGAACAAAAAGCTCGTAATTTGGGCAGATAGTTTGCTATACAGTCATAGATAATCAATACAATATTATTTTATAAAAATGAAGCTATTGCCATTAAGCCATTTGATGACTCATGCCAGGTCCTAGAGAGCATCTTGTGTGGAACTGTTAAACATGGCCACTCTACTTTTCTGCTTTGGGTGCTCTTTGAGATCTCTTTTTTCAAGTCACAGCTGAAGCATCAATGTGGTACCATTATAATAAATCATGGGATCAGAATTACTACCATTGGTCTGATATGAAGAAGCCTGACAACTCCTGGAACTGAAATCAGAAAACCTGAACAGAAATCTTCATTTTTTCAGATCTTAACTTTTTTTTCAACTCTACAATTGAGCAGCACTCCATTCTGTAAAAGAGAGTGTCTTCCTTTCTGTAAAAGAGAGTAAACTTGGATCTCATTTTGGCCAATTATAGTCTGCATGAACTTTAATACACTTTCTAAAACTAAGTCATTTCTTTCATCTGTAAATCATGACCTTACATACCTACCTTATAGAGTAACAAAAAAATATAAAAGTGTCTAGCATAAAATCTGCCCACAAAATGTGGAAAATTTTCCTTGAATGTGAATTAAAAGTACTATTTCTCATTATAGTCTTCCAATTATAAACATGACTTGGAAAAGGTTAAGGGAAAGGAAGTTGTTTAGCCTGCCAAAGAAGTAAATGTCAATTTAGTTTAAAAAAATAGCCTAATTAGTTGTTTTTATCTTTGACAAGAGAAGAATTAGGATAAATGTGAACAAGAATATTTACTGGATGAAAGATGGATGGCATTTGGTACTTCATGGTTTTAACAATTTAATAGAGTTTTAGTTAATAGAATAGAATTTGTTAACTGGTAAAGTGGATAACGTGTGTTTAGGGGGAAAAAAACCAACAAACCACTGTCGTGTCTTTATCCAAAGAAATCCTCGACAAGGAGATGGACTAACCGCTTTCATGTGCTTTGTATCAGCACGCGCTGAGCCCAGGGGTCTCCAAGATGACGTGTGTGGTCTAGGACTGCAGAGCGACATGAAGCATAGCCTGCCCCATCTTCCTTTCCCCAAAATCTCCTGTTCTGAATTGCACTAAAGGAAACCACCTTAACCTAATCTCCTTGTACACTTTTCTTTCTTCCTCTCTCATTACTTTTGTTGAGTCCTTTCTTTTTACCTTCTTTAGATGCTTCTTGGTTTAATTTGGTAATTAAATATTTCTTCTATCATAAGCTGTCTTAAAAGGGACAGCACTGATGTGGATTACTCTACTTACAATGATCTGGGTAATCTGATATAAAACTCAAGAGAATGCTCCAGGTCCAATCTAGATTGCTGGATAGCGTTACTCAGCGTTGCCCTCTGGAAGGGAGAACTGCTGTACATTGGAGGATATTTAGGAGCATCTTGGCTTCTTCCAAATACTAATAACCTGTCCCTCATTTACAGAACCTTGCCTATGAACTCTAGGAAGCAGGTTAGGACAGCAGGAGAAAGGCTTTCATCTGATTTTTCAAACTAGAGACAAAAGTAAGATGTCCTTTGTTATCGCTATCTTGTGCAACAGGAATTGAAGTCCTCATCGTTTATTTTTGTTCCATGTATTCCCTAAATGAAATCTGATCAAGGCTAGCAGCATCTTAAATATCCTGCCCCTAGTGGTCGATGTTAACTGACATTGGTTTTGTTGTTTTGTTTTCCTGATAGTTACTATAAGGCAGTGTTTCATCTGGGAACTTGTTAGAAATGCAAACTCTGAGGCAAACATGGTGGTGCATGCTTGTAATCCCAGTAATCTGGGATACAGAGGTAAAAAGATCACAACTCATCAAGACTTTCTTTCTAAAGAGTGAGAGAGAAGGAAGAAAGGAAAGAGGAAGGAAGGAAAGAAGGAAAGAAGAAAGGAAGGAAGGAA